AAACAAACTGGGTATGGTGGTGCACATCTTTAATCCCAGCTACTCAGGAGGCTGAGGCAGGAGGATCACTTGAGCTCAAGAGTTTGAGGCTGCAGTGAGCTATGATCACACCAGTGCACTCCAGTCTTGTCTCTTAAAACTGACGAGGATCAGAACAATAAAGAGGCAGGTCAGCAGTGTCAGTCATGTTGTTTCATGTGCCTTTGTGTGCAGCAGGGGTCCCTTGTGAAGATGGGACCCTTGTGAGATGCTGTGCCATTTCAGGACAATAAAAGGAGCTCCAAGCTGCCAGAGGCTTAGACACTGTCTATCAGGTGTGAGAGTGACTGAGCCCCTGTTGTGTGCTGAAAGTTCTACGAGGGAGTCCTCTTGTCTCCTTGGCTTAGGATCCTCTAACCTTTTATGTTCCTTGGAGAATGGTATTTAAATTTCTCCCTTGATAGAACCCAACCAGATCAGGGGGCAGTTAGCACATTTCCTTCTTTTCTACCCAAGGGGCTGAGTCACTGTTTGTATCAGAGCCGTGGACTGTCAGAGCTGGAATGAATCTTTGATCACTTTGGGACTAACTTACCCCCAGGGCCCTTACCTTGACTTCAAACTCATGTCGCTGGTGAATGTGCAGCTAAACTTAGGAGTCTGATCTCCCGACTTCCGGTCCAGCCTTCTCTCCACTCACCAGCTGTCTTTCACTGTCTGGATGTTTCAGTCTCAGAGCTGGTAGAGAGGTGGGGATTCCATCTTTTTGGCTCTGGCAAAGACCTTCCCCATACACACACACACACATATGCTCACACACCAACACTCACACACAGCTAATTTTGATGGGAGGTAGAAATGAAAACGGAAATTCTCTGGCAGAAACCCGGTTCCAGTCCTGGCCTATTAAACCAGAACATCTCCTGGTAGGACCTGGTTGTATGTATACTTTAAAAGCACCACTGGTGACTCTAAGTGCAGCCAGCCTAGACACCATGCTTCCGAGAAGGCTCTCAGAGGGCTACACAGACTGCAGTGCTGATCTGGTGAGGGAAAGGGGCAATGGTGGCTTTTACAGGGTGGCTCAAGAGAAAAGTCTCTGCTTTTCAATTCTTCTGTCCAGGACAGCTGATGATATGGAAAGAGCAGGTGGGAGTAGGCCAGACCAGATGCCATTAGGATGCAAGCTCTTTGAGGACTGGAAATCCCTCTAGGATCAATGTATTCTTAGCCTCTATGGCTGTTTATTTATTTATTCTATTTATTTTTTGAGACAGGGTCTCATCGTGTTGCCAGGCTGGAGCACAGTGGTGTGATCATTGCAGCCACAACCTCCTAGGGTTCAAGCGATCCTCTTGCCTCAGTCCCTCAGCATCTGTGATTATTTATTGAGTGATTAAATGAATGTGTGGTGGTGCTGGAGCTGGGCCTGCTCTTCAGCCTGCTTTATGGACCATTCCCATTCAATCTTAATTGATTGAGATGAATTCAATTGATACTCATGGAGCCGCTGGCAAATGCGGTACAGGTGTCCAGGCTTGTGCCCACTCAGGTGAGATGAGAGCCCTGGCTCTAATCCCCCGACTTTGGAGAGAAAAAGGTCTTATACAGCCAGGGCTGTAGAAGATTAGAGAATTGGCTCCCAAAGGTGACAGAAGCAAACCCAAGTCTTAGCTGCTCCTCAAATGGCTTTCTTAGGAAGGAAACCTTCTTGTAGGTCTGATGTGTGTGTGTGTGTTTGGCAAAGTGTTATCTAAAACAGCCCTGGAACTCTCATTCCCTTTTGTTGGCCTTTTTTTAAACTGCTGATTAGTATTTTCAGAGTGGTGATCTCATCATTGAAATTAATCACTCTGTGGAACAAGAAGGCGACAGTGGCCAGAAATCAATCAACTGATCAATCGGTGAATTCATCCAAGGCTTCTCGTTCATTTTTGCTTGAGGCAGAGAAAACAGAATAGTGCTTAAGTTCTCAGATAGTTGACTCACTAAGATGGAAGGAATTCTGCACCGAAGAATGCAAGCCCCTGGGATAGTGCGGCTTAGAAGGGAGGTAAGGAGCATATCCCAGCCCTCACAATAGCTGAGTTCAGGAATGCTAAGGAACTTCAGTAAAAATGATCAACCCCTTGGGCTCACTGCAGTGGAAGGAGGGCTGACATGAACTCTGGGTACAGAGCAGTGAGAACCAAGTTCCAGGGGACCCCACGTCTCTATCTGGGTTTAAAAAGTTTAGGCAAAAGGGAGACTGAGAGCTGGAGAAGAAAATTGTCTTCTTTTTAAGAATTGTAAATAATGATAATTTCTAAAACAGGAAAAATTGCTCCTGCCTGAATTAACTACCTCCCTATGTGCCTAATTAGTTTAGTGTCTTTCTGAAAGGCCCAAAGTCCTACTGAGAGTCTGGGGAACCCCTTTGCAAGGAAGCCACTGTGGTCAGCCTTACAAATCTAGCCACAGGCGAGTCCTCTGCCCAGAGGCCCCAGGGCTCCCCTATGGGTGGATGCCTGCAAATGGTCTCTCCCTGCTTTGGAGCTGAAGCGCCTGCTGCCCATCAGACCCAAGGCGTTCTCCCTCAGGCGTGGACACACCTCTGCCTTCCCTTTCAGAGCTGCCCAGCAGAGCACTGCCTCTGTCATGGCCACAATCAAATCGTCTCTGACGTTTGTATAATCCCTTTATAGTTTACAAAGTGCTGATCCTGCACCATTTCTTTAGCGCCTCATAGCAGCCCTGTGCAGAAAGGCATGTGTTAATTAAGCCAAGTCCTCAAACGCGATGGAGATGTGGTTGAATTTGTGCCAGGCACCACCCCCCCAAGACAGCATGATGAGTGATTTCCTTTGGGAATAAGGCAGTAAGCTGGAGGGTAGCAGGCCTGATGGTTCGATTTTGAGTATCTGCACAGCGCCCAGCAGAGTACCTGGCATACAGTAGATGCTCAATGAATGCATGAAGGAAGGAGATTGGCCAGGCAAGAGTTTTTGTTTTCCTTGTTTAGGTGAAGACCCGAGGACAGAGGGGTTCCCGGGGGTGCAGGCTTGAGGGTCTTACTTGTGAGCAGCCACGGCAGTGGCCCAGGCCTTCCTGCCTCCATGCCCCAGTCCCTCCCCTCGCCTCTTGCCGGTAGCCCCTCAGGTGGATGCACCTGGGTGGCGTGGCTGCAGGAAGCACCACTGTCTCCTGGGAGCCACTCCAGGGCAGCGGGGCAGAGGTTCATGTGTGCAGGGGCCAACGCAGAGTGTGCTCAGGTGGCTTCTGGGAACTCTGAGCCTTTTCCCAGACCACCCTGGCTGAGAGAGCGCATCCAGGCTGCGGCTCCCAGGAGGAAGTGGCTGCTTGGTTGGCTCAGAGCAGCCTGGGCTTGCTTTCCTCTGATAAAGCAGCCTCAGGGGTGGGGAAGGGGCTGGCTGTCCATCCTACTGGCTTCCAGGCTTGGGAGCCACTCAGGAGGGAAGAGAAGAGACATCTTGGAAGGCGGGCATCATCAGGAGCCAAAAATTGGCCACAAAAGGAGCTCTTCCTATGGCCAGCCTTGTGGAGGCTCTTGGCCCCAGGGCTGGCTTCAAAGCTGCAGGGCCCATCAGGCTGTCTGTGTGAGGCTCTGCAGAGCAGTCCTGCGGGGAGAGACTGTGGAGACGAATGGAGACATGCCAGCAGATGTCTGGTGGGCCTGGTCCCGGCTGGAGTCCTTGCCGACACAAGTCAGGCTGGAAGTGTGGGCTGGCTCCCACCCCGCAGAGGAGGGCAGTGTGGGCTCCTTGAAGGAGAGGGCTTTTGGGGTTCCTCTTGACTCACTCCAGGAGCAATGTCCAGGTGAGGACTGATTAGACAGGGAGTGGCAATTAGAGAAAGGTCCAGGCACCCACCCCCTCCCACTGGGATGGCTGGAGAGGAGAAGGCAGACAGGGCAGGGTGATGGGCATGCTGAGCTGTGGGACAGACAGCCAGTCCCTGGAGGGACTATAGCAGGCCTCACCTGCATAGGAAAGAGCCATGGGCTGGGAGGCAGAAGCAGAGGTTAGAATCCTCACTTATTTGTTTATTTATTTATTTTTAGAGACAGGGTCTTGCTCTGTCCCCCAGGTTAAAGTACAGTGGTGCAATCACAGCTCACTGCAGCCTCAAACTCTCAGGCTCAACTGATCCTCCTACCTCAGGCTCCTGAGTAGCTGGGATCACAGGTGCACACCTGGCTAATTTAAAATTTTTACATATTTTTGTTTAGAGGTGGGGTCTTGCTATGCTGCCAACGCTGGTCTCAAACTTCTAGCCTCAGGGAATTCTGTGTCTTGGCCTACCAAAGTGCTGGGATTACAGTGTGAGCCACTGTGCCTGGCAGAATACTCACTCTTTTTTTTTTTTTTGAGACAGAGTTTCGCTCTTGTTACCCAGGCTGGAGTGCAATGGCGCAATCTCGGCTCACTGCAACCTCCGCCCCCTGGGTTCAGGCAATTCTCTTGCCTCAGCCTCCTGAGTAGCTGGGATTACAGGCACGCGCCACCATGCCCAGCTAATTTTTTGTAATTTTTAGTAGAGACAGGGTTTCACCATGTTGACCAGGATGGTCTCGATCTCTTGACCTCGTGATCCACCCGCCTTGGCCTCCCAAAGTGCTGGGATTACAGGCTTGAGCCACCGTGCCCGGCCAGAATACTCACTCTTTAGCCAGGCATGGTGGTGCATGCCTGTAGTCTTAGCTACCCAGGAGGTTGAGGCTGGAGGATCATTTATGGCCAAGAGTTCAAGACTGCAGTGAGCTACGATCACACCACTGCACTCCATCCTGGGTGACAGAGTGAGACCTCCACTCTCTAAAGACATAATAGAATAAAAAATAAATGAAGTCTTTGGCTTGTCACTCTTGGGCTGTTTAACATGAAGTGGGTTTCTGAATCCCTCTGTACTGCAGCCCTCCCACCCACTTGGAGGATTCAAGAACTACGGTGACTCCCCGCCTTAAGGCCCTTTGGCTGTGAGGATCAAATGTGATCATGCAAGTACAAAGGACCTGACAAACTGAACAAAGTGGTGTGACCCTGGGTGGCAGGCAGTGTGCGGGCCGGGGAACTGATCGCTTTAGTACAGTCAAGGTCAGTGCTGCCTGGGGCCTAGAATATGTCTTATGTTCTCTGAAGAGCTTTTCCTGGTGCTCACCTCCTTCCTCTATCCCACATGTCATGCACAACACCCTCTTCCTGTGGCCGCAGCTTTCCCAAACCCCACACCACTGGGCTCCAGAGACAGTTGACCTCCCTCAATTCCTGTGTGTGACTTCAGCGTGCACTGACCCCTGCTGACCTGGCTTTCTCTTCTCACAGTTGAGGACGTTGATAATGCTGTCGACTTGAGAGGATTTAAGTGAGATGCTGTATGAGGAACTTACTACACAAAGGTAAGTTTTTAATCACTGCTCTTGACAATTACTCATTCTCAAAACCAGCGTGGGATCCGCAGTGTGGGCACTTCTTTGGCCCCAGTCCAGACTGTGGTGGAAAGTGATTTTCTCTCCCCGTCTATCTCCCGTGTTCCTTTCCCTTTACCCTAGGTGAGTCCAGCGGCACAGCATTAGGACCTTGTGGTTTTAGAACTCAGAGTTAGGGCACGAGGCAGGGGCTTTCCCCAGCTTTCTGGACCCCTCCATCTCCTACAGTTTACCTTGCAATGCATTCTTCACGGTACACACAGGAGCCAGCAGGGCTCAGCGGACTGACTCCTTCAAGAGGCCTGGATGACAGACACTTCCCAGGGAAAATAAGCCAAACCGGGAGGTTGCCCTTCTGCGACCTTCTGGGGCCTGAGAGAGTGAGCTTTTATGGAACTGTTTCCCGCTGTTCACTGACCTTTTTCCTAAAGGCCCCAAGGAGGCTCTCAAAGGAAAACAAGGACCATTCCATATGAGAAAGTCAGTGGTCTAGATTACAATCTGTTTCTTGGAAACAGTGTGAACCTCTGGCAGGAGATGTTTACAGACAGGGAGGAATGCAGTGCTGCAAAAAACACCTGTCGCTGTTGTGTCTGTGGGTGACGATGGAGAAGTCTTGGGTATGAAATAATTGACCAATCAGAGCATCTGTCCCAGCAGGAGGACATAGAGTTGCACGGCTATTCCCACCTGGAATGGAGGGGCAGTTGGACAGATTTTATAATAATGATTATGGGTTTCTCTTTTGCCTTGCTGAAGAGACCTGTATACTAGTTCTGTGCTACCCAGAATAGTAGCCATGTGGTTAATTACATGTAAGTTACCTGAAATGAAATACATGAAAAAGCCCATTCCTCTGTCCGACTAGCCATGTTTCAAGCCCTCAGTGGCCACATACAGCCAGAGGTTAGAGTGGGGATGGCACAGAGGGTATTTCCACCATTGCAGAAAGTTCTTTTGGACAGCACTGCTTTCATCTGCCCCAAACATTCTTGTTTGTGAGTGGGAGGGAATGAGAAAAGTTATTTAAGAAATGCAAAGAGGAAGAACAGCCTCGTATTCAGCCCTTGACATTCAGAATCTGATCCTTCAGCAATAAGAGATGTGCATGCCAAGCTGTTGTCTTCAAAACCCATTTCCACATCTCCGTCCCTCCCCCTTTAACATTTCAGCAATGGAGCCTGAGTGACGCCTCTCAAAGATTTCTTCCATAGCATGGCAGAGAGACCAGCTTGGCTGGAGCCCTGGAGAAAGAGGGAGTGAGGGAAGAGAAACAAAGGACAAGTTGGAGCCCCTTTCAGCCGGGGAAACATAAGGAGCAGGAAGGAGAGGGGCTTGGCTGGCAAGTGGCTGGGCTTGGGTCTGCTGTATTGTCCTTTCCAGGCTTAGGCTGGTGATATAGTTTGGCTGTGCCCCCACCCAAATCTCATGAATTATAGTTCCCATAATACCCATGTGTCATGGGAGGGACCCAGCAGGAAGTGATGGGGTCCTGGGGGGAGTTCCCCCATGGTGTTCTTCTGATAGTGAGTGAGTTCTCACAAAATCTGATGGTTTTTTAAGCGTCTGGCATTTCCCCTGCTGGTACTTTTCTCTCCTGCTGGCTTGTGAAGAAGGCATGTTTGCTTCCCCTTCTGTTTCCCGAGGCCTGCCTAGCCATGTGGAACCGTGAGTCAGTTACAGCTGTTTTCTTTATAAATTATCCAGTCTTGGGTATTTCCTCATAACGGTGTGAGAATAGACTAATACAACTGGTGAGGAAAATGAGTACAGGCAAGGTGAAGGCCACATAGAAAGCAGAGCCTGCCACACACCAGCCTGGGAATGGCCACATCAACCTGCAGCACTGGATGGCTCTGGAAAGCCAGAGTCTTGCCTTCTCCAGCTGCCTTGGTCACCATGTTGGTCACACTGAGCCAGCAGCCAGGGCCCTGACATGGTGTCCCTCATGGCAGGTTAGAAGTGACCCATTGCAGAGGCTGATGTTGGACTTTCAGGGCAGTGAACTGGGTGGCGGGTGGACGAAGACTCAGCCTCTGTTGCTAGTGCAGCCAGTTGAGGCCAAGGCAGTCTGAAGTGGACACCAGATTGTCACTAGGACAAGCAGGAGCAGCCTGGGAGAGACACACTGAGGCGTCATGTGGAAGGAGAACAAAGTAGGCTGGGTGTATTGGCTCATGCCTGTAATCTCAGCATTTCAGGAGGCCAAGGTGGGAGGATTGCTTGAGGCCAGGAATTTCAGACCAGCCTGGGCAGCAGAGCAAGACCCCAACTTTACAAAAATAATAATACCAATAAAAATAATAAAAATTATTTAAAATAGAATGAGAGCAAAGCAAAAAATTTCTTGGGTGCTCAGAGAAACAGATCCAGCTGGGTGGTCATGGCGATTACATGATGATCAAAATAGACTGGGTAATTTCTAAAGACAAGAGGGTTTTGGCTCAAGCCTGTAATCCCAGCACTTTGGGAGGCCGAGGCGGGTGGATCACAAGGTCAAGAGATCGAGACCATCCTGGTCAATATGGTGAAACCCCGTCTCTACTAAAAAAATACAAAAAAATTAGCTGGGCATAGTGGCGCGTGCCTGTAATCCCAGCTACTTGGGAGGCCAAGGCAGGAGAATTGCTTGAACCCAGGAGGCGGAGGTTGCAGTGAGCTGAGATCACGCCACTGCACTCCCGCCTGGATAACAAGAGCGAAACTCTGTCTCAAAAAAAAAAGACAAGAGGTTTAACTCAGCTGCTGGTTCAAAATGATCTCCTGTGTCCTAGTGAGGAGGAAGTGGCACTCAATGCCAGACCTTGAGTCCCTACCCACTTCTTGGGTGGTTTTGTATGTGCCCTTAGATCTCTTTATTGCAAGCAACAGAAATTCCTACTCAAATTAGCAAAAAAAGGGAGTTTGCTCCTTCATATAACCGAAAGTCCAATCATATATATATATATGTGTGTGTATATATATATGTGTATATATATATATGTGTATATATATGTGTATATATATATGTGTATATATATATATGTGTATATATATATGTGTATATATATATATGTGTGTGTGTGTGTGTGTGTATGTATATATATATATATATATATATGTTTTTTTTTTTTTTTCAGGTCTAGCAACCTAGATCCAGAGCTCAGCTTATGTCATCAAGTCTCAGTTTGAATGATTCTCTCAGCTTATTCTTCATCTTGGCTCCATTCCAAAGTCATTCCATGGTGGCGATATAGCTGCCAGCAGCTACACAAACCCAATGGCAACAGCCCATGCTCTTCTCCCAGAAGTCCCATAAGGCATCTAGCTTCTTTTCATTGGCTCTGATTGTGGCCGGCACCCATCCTTCATCCGATCACTGCAGCCAGAAGAATACAGTGCTCTGATTGGTCAGGCCTGAAGTTAGGCGTGGAGTTAACTCCACCTGCAACACATGGACTGATGGAGAAGGAAAAAAGATCTGGAAATCCGAAACACTAGAAGAGTAAATTGTATTTGGTTTCTATTACCCAGTGCAGCAGATTTAATCATTCTGGAAAAAAGTTTTTATCTTCAAAGGGACTCAAGCTAAAGACCTCCTTTAGGTATGCTGTCAGTAGATAGCTACTTTAAGCCTCATGGCCAAGATGACTAGTCTCAGAGTGGACTGCAGCCCGTGCTCTCTTCCAGAGCGTGTCAGAGGACAGGCTATCACAAAGGCGGGCTTTGCAGTGCTGGTTTCCTGAGACCACGGTAAATGTTGTGGCTGAAGGGGTCATTAATGTCTAACCTCCTGTGTTATTCTGGGTGCACTTCTAATGCCCAGACCATTGGTGGCCCCTGGAATGTGCCCTTGGGTCACAGCAAGCTTTAAGTTACTGTTAATGAGGTAGTGCATATTTGCATAAACTTTCAAGGTGAAATATTTTAGGGTTTTTCTTTGTGGCTGGCATTTGTTTTTCTTTCTCTATCTTTTCACTTACTACAATTGATTCAAACCCCTCAAGCCTGGAAAGGACATAGGAACAAAGGGGGACCCTGTAACTGGGGGGCACGCGATAGTGGAGGCATTGAGAGGAATCCAGAGCTCTGTCCAGAGGTCGTCAGATGATGGTCCAGGGCTCCCTTATTATGCTTCCCCAGGCTTCATTTGTGGGAGTGGTGGTGGGTTGAATGTTGTTCCCCCAGAATTCATATCTGCCTAGAACCACAGAATGTGACCTCATTTGGAAATAGAGCCTTTGCAGATATATTAGTTAAGGTGAGATCATGCTAGATTAAGGATGGGCCCAAAATGCAAAGGAGAGGGCACAGGACACACACACAGGGGAAGAGGGCCTGTGAAGATGGAGGCAGAGAACAGAGTGATGCAACCACAAGCCAAGGGGCACCGAGGATGGCCAGGAGCCATGAGAGGCTGGAAGGGCAAGGGCAAAGTCTCCCCTGGAGCCTGGTTCTGCTGACCCAGAACTGTGAGAGAATACAGCGCTGTTGCTTTAAGTCATGGCATTTGTATTCATTTGTTACAGCAACCCTAGGAAACCAATCAGGGGCTCCTAAAGGAATCCAAGGCCTGAGGCAAAACATGGGTAGAGAATGGAAATGTGGACACAGAAGTTCTGTGGAAGTGCCTTGACAGGACCTGTTTGAAGGATGAATTCTGCTCCCAGACAATGCGGGCCTGTCCATGCCACATTCTTTATTAGGCCACCACCTTGGCTCTGCAGTTTGCATGCCCAGGGGGAGAGAAGGGACTGGAATCCTGTCTGTCTCTCTCCACCAAGCCCAGTGTGTTGGTACAAAGCTTCATTCTCCTGGAGAAAAGGGTTTTCTTTCCTTGGCTTGAAGGTGCTGTCAGCAGACAGTTCTGTCTGTTCCTCAAGCTGTGTGCTAGGCAAGTGAGGCTGCACAGAGAGGCCACCACCGTCTAATTCACGTGATGGGGCTCGACGCGGTGGCTCATGCCTGTAATTCCAGCACTTTGGGAGGCCGAGGCAGGTGGATCACTTGAGGTCAGGCGTTCAAGACAAGCCTGGCCAACATGGCAAAACCTCATCTGCACTAAAAATACAAAAATTAGCTGGGCATGGAAGGCTGAGGCAGGAGAATCACTTCAACCCGGCAGGCAGAGTTTGCAGTGAGCCAAGGTCGTCCCACTGCACTCCAATGTGGGCTACAGAATGAGACTCCTTCTCAAAAAAGAAAAATTCACATGACAGTACCATAGAGACTAGTGACCCTGATCCAGCTGCACACGGCCCTCACATTGCCCAACCACAGAATCCCTCATTCTTTCCACAAGCACCCACACCCACTCCCCTTCCCCCACACACGCTTTCAATATTCAGTTGCTCCTCATTTTTCACTGGTTCTATATTTGCAAATGTGCCTCTGAATGTATCTCTACTCCCCCAAATTCATACTCACGGCACTTGTACGGTCATTTACAAACACGTGCAGAGTGACAAAAAATTTGGGGTCTCCGGATGTGCATGTTTATAGCTGAGGTCAAACAAGGCAACACTCTGCTCTCTTTTCTTCTTACTCTAAATAAGAGTCCCTTTCATAGTTGATGTAGCGCCATGGTTTTTTTGCATTTTTATACTTTTTGTTGGTGATTTTGCTATTTAAAATGGTTCCCAAGGGTAGCACTGACGTGCTATCTTATGTTCCATAGCCTGAGAAGGATATGGTGTGCCTTCCAGAGAAAATATGTGTGCTAGGTAAGCTTTGCTCAGGTGTGTCACAGTGCAGGTGGCCATGAGTTCAATGTGTTAATGATCAGCAATTCATATCATAAGAAGGGTCCTTAAACAGAAACAGGAATAAAACTGTCAGAGGCGTTTGAACCAGTGACTCCATCTTGAATAGGGACTGGGGAAATAAGGCTGACGCCTGCTGGGCTGCATTCCTAGGTGGTTAGGCATTCTTAGTCACAGGGTGAAACAGGAAGTCAACAGGACTGGAATCACAAGATACAGTTCACAAAGACCTTGCCAATAAAACAGGAGGTGGTAAAGAAGCCTATCAAAACTCATCAAAACCAAGATGGTGACAAAAGTGACCTCTGGTCATCCTCACTGCTCATTATATGCTAATCATAATACATTAGCAAGCCGGGTGAGGTGGCTTACTCCTGTAATGCCAGCACTTTGGGAAGCTGAGGCAGGAGGATGGCTTGAGCCCAGGAGTTCAAGACTAGCCTGGGCAATGTGGCAAGACTCTGTCTCTACAAAAGCTATAAAAACTAGCTGGGTGTGGTAGCACATGCCTGTTGTCCCAGCTACTCAGGAGGCTGAGAGGGGAGGACTGTGTGAGCCTGAGGGACAGACAGTGCAGTGAGCCTAGATTGCACCACTGTACTCTAATCTGGGTGACAGTGAGATCCTGTCTCAAATAGTAATCATAATCATAATATATTAGCATGCTAAAAGAAACTCTCACCAGTGCCTGACAGCTTACAAATGCCATAGCAAAGGCTGGAAGCTACCTTATATGGTCTAAAAAGGTGAGGTACCCTCAGTTACGAGAACTCCCCTCCTTTTCCTGGAAGACTCATGAATAATCCACCCCTCATTTAGCATATAATCAAGAAATAACCATAACTATACTTAGTCGAGTAGCCGATGCCACTGCTCTGGCTGTGAAGTTGACATTCTGTTATTTCTTTACTTCTCTAAGAAACTTGCTTTTGTTTTACTCTGTGGACTCGCTCGAATTCTGTCTTGAGTGAGATCCCAGAACCCTCTCTTGGGGTCTGGATTGGAACCTCTTTCTTGTAAAAACAAAACAAAACAAAACAAAACAAAACAAAACAATGAGGTTATGAATCAACCAGTTGATGAAGATGTTGTGAGCAGAGGCTCATAGGAGCATAACCCTCTATTTCCCCTAGGAGCAATGGTTCAGTATTCACTATTCCAGTACTCCCAGAAACTTTATGGAGCATCACTATCTCCAACAATGAGAATTGCTTATATTTTTCACCCAGGCCCACTGAAGGGAATGGTGATGAACTGATTGGTGTCCCTACCCTTGCCTGTCTCTCCCTATGTCACAGAATGAAGGCTGTCCTGTTAGAGGAGCTCTGGAAAGCTCTAGGTCTACATCCATGAAGATTATTTCTCCCCTTTAGCAAACATCTTTAGAACACCCATGACATTGGGGAGGGCTATGCCACCGAGGGGCAGGGTTTTCCCTGAGAATTGAGAGCCCATGAGCTCCTTTTCTGCAGTGATTTATTCAGTGGTCCCAAACAGAGTGAAAACAAAATGATACAAATGAAACCACAAACAAAGAAACAGAAAACAACAAAAGCAAACCACTGACAGTTAAAGGGCATCTCACAGGAAGCACCTGTTTGCTACTGGGCCAATCCAATGCCATCAACTCCAGTGGGCATTTTGGGAGGAATCTCAGCATATAGGTAATAAAGCATTATGGATTAGATTAGGGGAAGAAAAAAAGCAATAAACAATTCACTCACTTCTCTCATAAATGTGTTTCTGTGTCACCTTCATCCTTTCAATCCTCACTAAGAACAGAGAGAGAAAGACAAAGGGTCTCCCTGTTTACTTTAGCACACTAGTCTAAGGGCTACCAAATCCAGCTAAAAAGTAGCTGCACAAATTACAAGTCGTGAAAACACTGACACAGCTGAGCCAGTGTAAAGAAACACACAGTGAAACCTCATTTAATCACCCACCAGTAACTCAGAATTTGGGTAATCTGAAGGAGGTCAAGGCTGATGTTTAACCTGGTGCTTACTGAAGAAATGTACCCCAAAGACATTACTTACAATGCAAATCAATATTAGAAAATAATTTACTCAGAGGAAATGTTAAAAGTATATAAGAGAACAAACTTAAAATTAGCCCCAGGCAACTGGGGGCCCATCAACACGGATCTAAGGTATTTTAGTGCCTTCTCCTGCAAAGGACTCTGTCTGTTCCCAGGTTAAAACTGATGTTTGCCACTGAATAACCTTGGGTGAATTGCGTCAAACTCTCTGAGCGTTAGTTTTTTTTTTTCTCTAAAAATGTGTAAGTCACGAGGTCATCATGAAGGTTAAATGGCCATGCACTGGAAAGAGCTCCGTAAATTATAAGTGCCATGCAAATGGCAGTAGCTGTCATTATTGGGGGCTGCCTGTGCCTGACTCCATGCTCATTCCAATGTCTCCATGCAGGCCGCCTCCTGGTAGAGCCAGGCCACCTGACCTTCCTCTTGCCTTGGCTCAGCTGTTTCTTTCCTGCTCTGTGTCCAAATCCCTCCCTCCCTCCCTCCCTCCCTCCCTCCCTCCCTCCCTCCCTCCCTCCCTCCCTCCCTCCCTCCCTTCCTTCCTTCCTTCCTCCTTTCCTCCCTTCCTCCCTTCCTTCTTCCTTCCCTCTCCCTCTCCTTCTTTCTTTCTTTCTCTTTCTTTCTTCCTTCCTTCCCTCCCTCCCTCCCTCTCTTCCTTCCTTCTTTCCCTCTTTCTTCTTCTCTCTTTTTTTTTTGATTCTTCTTGCCCAGGCTGGAGTGCAATGGTGGGGTTTCGGCTCACTGGAAACTCTGCCTCCTGGGTTCAAGCCATTCCCCTGCCTCAGCCTCCGAAGTAGCTGAGATTACAGGCGCTTACCACTATACCTAGCTAATTTTTGTATTTTTAGTAGAGACAGGGTTTCACCATGTGGGCCAGGCTAGTCTTGAACTCCTAACCTCAGGTGATCTGCCTGCCTCTTGCCTCCCAAAGTATTGGGATTACAGGCATAAGCCACCGCACCCAGGGAAATTCTACTTTTCCCTTGAGAAAAGCAAAGACCATTGAATCAAGGAATGAAAGTCCTATTAAATGATCAGACCCAGAGAGACATTGAAGTGAGCCAGCACTGTTGTCCTCCTCCACCCCAAGCTGCTCATCTACTGAAGCTGCCTGTTGCTGCCA